ATATATATATATATATAAATTTTCGTAGATCAATAGTGTTTTAATTAAATGTCTGAATGTAATTCTTTAAGCCTCAGCAGAAAGATGGTCGTAATTGAGTTATGGTCACAATATTGGTCAACCTACGACCTACTTTCCATGACTCAGTTATGACCATCTTTATGTTTAAGCTCTAAGATGTGTTGCATTTTATCGATGGAAATGATTTTGCCGTAATTTGAGCGTCATTTTAGGATCCCCTTAAGAAAATTTGATAACTTTAACTACATTTACGTCTTACATTTTTATCTAATTCAGCGTAGAACCGCGTTGCTGGTTGCGGCTCTACTGGCTAATCTATCGTGGATTCTTGCAAGTTCTGCGGGATCCATCAGTGCAATTGATCAGGATACTGCAGAAAGTGGTAAGTAAACAGTGGAACAAGTCAGGTTCCGTGATTTAAATGATTCTAAAATCCGGATAAATATGCGTACGACGAATCGAATTGAATGACTTGTCAGGATATTATACATTGTTATAATAACGGATTGCAGAGCATCGCAACGACTGCCGGTCTGTGTTTCGTAGGAGCCGTCCACCTTGACCAATTAGGCATTCAGGCTGTAGACGGTGTTATTTATCTCCTGGTATGTGAAAACGCATTCTTCCCCATGTACGCTACTTTGGCGTTGATCCCGCAAGAATTACCGCTTCTTCTTCGAGAGTACAAGGCGGGCATGTATTCCGTCCATCTTTACTATTTGGCACGAATGATATCGCTGGTAAGTTCGATTCATTTCAAACAATCTACCCTAAAAATCAACTATAAATCGAATATAAAGAAAGAATAACAGAAGCGTAAAAGGAACTTCTCGGAACATAAATTAGAACAGCGAAATGTGAAAGAACCGTTTTAAGAAGTAAGTCATCCAATAAAGAGAAAATTAACTCCAACCAGTAATATAACATCAATGTTATAATTTTACACTCAAAAATATAAATGTAATATCTAATAACATATGGTACTTAACATTCCAATTGTTGAATGTGAAATTATAACATTGATATGATTATGTGTTACTTATTATTACTATTAGTTGGTGATTACTGGGTTTCTTTACGTTTCATTGTTCCGTTTACGGAACTTCTTCAAAGCTTTTACTTTTGTCGGTTTCTCTTTATATTCGACTTACGCTCCGATTTTTATCTTTGCTAAGAATGTACAGAATGTGATCCATACAATACATACAGAAGCTTGCAACAACATTGGTGCAACGTTTGCAATGTTACTGCAATATTGCTGTAATATTGCTGGAATGTGCTGTATGGGAGGAAGTATACTTATCGATTTGCGAGAGCAATGAAATTTTCAGATACCTGGACTGCTGATGGAACCAATTCTGTTCACCGTAATAATGTATTGGTTGGCTGGTTTACGTCCCGCAATGGACGCTCTTAGCCTGACCATTTTAGTAGTTATATTTACGATAAACGTGTCTACCGCTTGCGGTAAGTGTTTCTGTCTGTTTAAATAGCATAATGGACAATAGGTTTAGGTCCATTTATGCGCGTTCTCATGTACTCCAGGATGTTTTTTCTCTGCCGTTTACCAGAGCGTGCCGCTGGCAATGGCGTACCTGGTGCCCTTCGATTACATTCTTATGATAACTATGGGACCTTTCATCAAGCTTGGGTATTTATGATTATCTTATACAGGGAGGATACTTATACAAGTACTTTATAAGATTTTAAGGATGATTTCTCACATAAATTTAAGACGAAAATTTCGTATGATTATATGTCTGAATGGTTTACCCAGATAGCACAGAGAGTTCAAAAGAATTCGAAAAGAATTCAGTCGAATGTCATCAATTCTGAATTCATTTTCAGATACAACAAGAATTCTTTTTGCATCTGAAAATGAATTCAGAATTAATGACATATCACTGAATTCTTTTTGAGCTCTTTGTGCTATCTGGGTAGTTACAAAGATACAGGGTGTCAAAATTGAAAAAAAATTTCTTTTCCAAAAATTTCGAAAACCACTCGATTTATTTTGAATGAAATTTTAAACATATACAAAGTTTGCGTTATACGAGGATCTACAGTATAATTTTGTCTTCCTTCTCTTTTTATATCATGGAGCCTTTTTAATTTCTTTTATTGATGTACGATTATCAGTTCATTACCTGTATACGTACAATGGATAAAATACTTCTCCTGGCTACTACACTCCACGGAAGCTCTCACTATTATCCAATGGAAAGGCGTACATAATATATGTAAGTTTCATTGAGCCTTATTATTCCTCTACGAGACGCATAACGGAACTGTTTCCTATAAACAGCCTGTGAAACAACCGAGCTACCCTGCCTCACTGAGGGCGCCGAGGTGTTGGATCGCTACGACTTCAACGAGCGCAATTTCTGGCCTAACATTATCTTCATGGCTGTCATTTACGCCGTCTTCCATTTGCTGGCATACATCTTTCTGTGGAGGCGATGCAAATCGAAATAAATGGATCTTAATGCTATCTGAGCAAATGTCATATATGTGTTATATAAGTTTTCATAACGTATCTTAAAACCAAATGTTCCCCCCCTAACTTGTCCTGTTTCCTAACTAACGTTTGCAATTATATGCAAACTTGATAAAAATTTTTTTTGTGGAATTCTCCAATTTAATATAATTTTTTAGAATTTCTATATAAATTTCGAAATATTTTTTAGAAATTTTGTATATATTATAATCTTTTTTAGAAAATTTCTTAGATTTTTTTATATATTTAAATTACAATACTTCAGAAATGCTAAGAAAATCTACTTTTTTCTAGAATTCTTTATATACATAAATTTTGAAATATTTTAAAATTTCTAAGATTTCTTAGATTTTTCAAAAAACTTACAAAATCTAAAGAAAAGTTTAAAATCTTTTTAGAAATTTTTATAAATTTAAAAAAGGAAAACTACTGAAAAATATTATAAGATATTAGAGAGTTTTTTTTCAAGAATTTTTTTTTCATCAGAAAAATTGTTATAATTTTTTAAATTGATTAAACCGTTAAGAAGACTGATTAGATATATGTATACATGTATGTATATTCAGATGACACGGTATAGCGTTTTCGAGCTAAAAACAGGTGCAACAATATCGAAGCACGAGACCGGCTGTGTATACATATATTTATAACGGTGTGCTTTAATTATTTGGAAATCAGTTTGAAAATGAGAGTAGAATGAGAAGTTCGCTCTAGCGAAGCGACTAAACGTCGGTTATCAGAGAGACGAGAGAAGGAAGAATAAACAAGAAAATAAATTAACACATGAATTGCTGACATTTCTTTATTGTAAAACAATTTTGTCATAAAAGTTCATTGCTCCAATAAAGGGGTTTCTTGAAAGGTCAACCTTTTCTTTAAATAATTCCCTTCCCTCACCTTTAAATCTACGATCGAGTTAACAGGAGTTATGGAAGAGAATCAGCCTTCAATGTATATATGTATATGAAACAGGAAAAATTTACAGCTGACAGGTCAACGCAGATCAACGTGTCCGCCAAGAGAATACAATATGAATTTGAAACAAAAGTTTGTTTTTAATTAATTGATCACTAATAACATTACTAGTACATCGATTGGTCATTCATCCCGCATCATTAAAGTATGAAATTGTAAATAATACGTCGTAAATAAATGACATCATTAATTGGTCAAAAAAGTGACATCATTATTAAATCCGATTCACGCTCACAATGCTTAAAAATCATTTTATCCTTGTTATTTATTAAATGTCAGACAAAGATAAATAACGCTCGCATGATGAGCATTGTGAACATGAATCGGACCAATAACCTTAAATAGGTTATGATGTAAAAATTCAAACTATATCGATGTCAAAATGACGATAGCTTTGTTATCAATATTCAACAAATGTATATTGTAAATAATAATAATAAATATATAATAAAAATGATAAGAATTATAAAAGCTAAGATCCCAGAAAGCAGGGGGTCGATTGTATATTTCGAAATAAGGTGAAAATTACAAAAATAAATTCACTAAAATATTCATAATTTAATTTAATTGGTCAATACCTAGTGAGTTTGCTCATTCTTGTAATTTTCATCTTATTTCAAAATACACAATCGACCTTCAGATTACATGATGTCAATAATTCAAAATAGCTAAATCAACATCAAAAGGCATGAAGGCAGCTTGCTATCTGGGGAACATTTTAATGGATCAATAAGGCAATTAAACGCGGCAATCGTGATTAAAATTTGTTCTTTTTGGCTGAACTTTTGCACAGTTTATCTTTCTTCCTCTTCTTTCTTTCTGGAGAGAAAAGGAAGAAGGATGAAAAAAAAGATTCGGAGATTTCAAGATGCTACACACGCGGGTGACAGTGATCGCTGTACACGCGAATCGTAGAAATCTTGAAATCTCCGAATTTTTTTGAAATTTGCCCGATCGCTATTTAAAGCAAGTCTGCGTGACTGAGGTACTTTCGCGAATCCGAAAAGCGAGTCTTGTCTTGGACCTCTGATGGTGGTCGCCACAAGTTCATCCTTCTTCCTTTCTCTCCAGAAGGAAAGAACGCGGGTCGTAGCGATCGCTATACATGTGAATTATAGAAATCTTGAAATCTCCGAATTTTTTTGAAATTTGCCCGATCGCTATTTAAAGCAAGTCCGCGACTGAGGTACCTTCGCGAATCCGATGCTCGTCTTGGACCTCTGATGGCCGTCGCCACAAGTTTATCTTTCTTGATTGATCGATATAAATCGTAAATACGCAAAGTATCATTTGATA